TGCTGTCTGTGTCCACAGTGTATGGAGAGAAGACCAGACAAGAGCCCAGGTCTTCAGGCCTGTCCTGACCCACAGCGCCTTGGCAGGGACATGGCGGGCAGGCGCCACAGGAGGTGTCCTTGGCAGTATTCAGAGGCATTAGGAGGCTTGCTTCCTTCTCCTGCCCTTACACACAGCAGGTTTATGAGCAAAGTGTGTGCCAACACTGACTCAAAGGCTTTCCCACAACCACAAGTTCTAGAGCCTTCATCCAGCCTCTAGACATGAGAGGGAAACACCTTTGCTCCAGGTATCACCTGCAAAAGAATGAGTAGGGAGGTGGAGTGGGGCTGGCAGCAGAGCCCATAGCTTAGTCTCAGTGCCCATGGCTCGCTCTGCTCAGTTGGGGCGCTCCAAGGAAGCCACTAGGGAGACCAGACTAGGTCCAGCCTGGAGAGGCACTCGTTAGGGTGGTACCTGCCTTCATGGTGTTAGAGCTGCTTGGCTGCCTGTGTCCGGCTTTCCAGGCCAGACCTCACTCCCAGCACACTGCAGGCCAGTTTGAGCTAGCCACGCTCAGAGGCCTGGTCATTACAGTCTCTGGTCAGAAGCAGAGGTATAGCTCTCTGAGTGGCCCAGGAGCCAGTACCATGCAGCCTGTAATCATGCCAGGCCCAGCTCCAGCCCACTCAGGGGAGGGGAGACAAGGAGCCCCTTGAATTCTCCTGCAAGGCCCCTTCCCTGGCTTGGTTTGCTGGACTCTCATGCCAGGCCCAGAGAAAGAAGTGCTCTTCCATCAGGGTATGAATTAGAGGTGAGGAGGTGGGCGACTAGGTCCTGATGGCACCCAAAGCAAGGAGTAAATGCTGGTGACAGGATCAGCGGTAGGAAATGCTTCCCCCACTGGCCCTGCTCTGACATCAGGAGCGTGGGTGCCCCATCCAGGATCCTGGGGTCCTCTCAAGCAACCTCAGGCAAGAACAGGACAGATATAGAAATCCAGAAATTAGGGAAATAACAACCCAGACTAGCTCTACACCACTTACTACAAAAGTGGCCCCCTCACCTAGGCCCCTAGTTTAAACAGAAACAAGGTAACAAGAGTCCACCAGCTACTTCCAGCTTCTAAAAGTACAAAGAAAGCTGTCAGGAACCAGGTGGAGTGACACGTATCTATAATTCCAGTGACTCAGGAAGCTGAGGCCAGAGGCTAACAAAGCCAGGCTTCAAAGCCACCCTGGCCAACTTAACAAAGACCCCGTCTCAAAATTGAAAGTAAGAACAATAATAATAAAAAAAAGGGGGTTTGGGCACAGTGGTGTGTGCCTGTAATCCGAGCACTAGGGAGGCTGAGGCAGGAAGATCCAAGTTTGAGGTCAGCCTGGGCTACAGAGTGAGACCTTGACTCAAAAAATGTGGGGAGGGGCTTGGGCACACAGTGCAGTGATAAAGAGTCTTTGCTTAGCACAGATTCAATCCTCAGCACTGAATCAAGAAAAAAAAAAAACTAACAGTAAACCTGTTTTGCTTCTCAAAAGGGCTGGGACTGAGGTAGAAAGAGATATGGGGGAAGGCAGACTGACACTGCCCAATGATTCTAGGTGTCAACCAGACATCTGCCCTCTGTTACCTGGGAGGGAATGGTGAATCCACCTGGACCGGGTACCCTGTCTGACAGCCCTGAGCTGGTAAAGAACCCTAAGTCCAGCCATACTGGGTCTTCAGATGGGGAAGAGAGACAGACCTACCACAACACTGGCAGCCAAGAAAGCCAGGTGTGGGTTAGGTTGGGGCTGGGCAAAAAATTCACACTGTGGGGTCTGTTGTGCGCAGTTCCTCCAAATCAGGAGCAAGAGAGTAAATGGAGGGTCGAAGGCCATCTCTCACTTCTTCCTGTCCTTTAGGGCCGGGAGAGCAGAAAAGATGCACACTCTGAAGTTCAGGAGCAGAGGGACATTGTTGGGGGTGTGGCTGCCAGAAGAGAAACGCTCTCAGGTAAAGAGGCCTCTGGCACTCAGCAAGCCTGGGAGTAAGGGGCGACGCTGGGCAGGGAGCTTGAGTACCTGTCCCCAGCCCTCTGCGGGGTCAGCTGGAGGGAACTGGGGTGTCAAGGAGAAACCTGGAAGAAAAGAGGCGGGATCTAAGATAGGAAACTTGAGACTGGTAAGTAAGGGGATGGGAACATGGAAAGAAGGGATCTGGAGCAGGAAAAGAAAACAAGGAGCTGGAGGTGGGGCGCCGGGGTCCCGCAGGCGCGGAAAGCGCGGTGAGGCCAGAGAGGGGCCCCAGCCGCCGGCCCCGGGCCCGGCCTCGAGGAGACGCGGCGCCGGGCCGGGCCGACGGCCCTACCTGGTACACGGAGGCCTTGGGCAGGTCCAAGCACACGGTGCAGCACAGCACCGAATAGAGCC